TATTTTTAAAGACCTGGTCAGAGGTAACTTTCTAAAATATAATTTCTGAGAATTTAGTGCTTGTAGTAGAGATGGTTAGCTATCCTTCCATTAAAAAATTTGCAATCCCTTCTTATATTGTTGAAAAGAGGTTCCTCTGTCAGAAACTACTTCCTTAAGTAGGATATGGATGAAAGTCCTATGTGTCTCCCCAGACAGGGCATATAAGTGCTCCCTGTCCAGTTGTCTTTGCTCTCCCCCAGCCCTGCCTCCTCCAAGCCCCCCACCCCCATCTCCTGATTGGTGCAGCTTCAGTCATTCTGGGATCTTATGCATGACAGGCTTTTTGTGAATAAGAAATATATTCTTCCACTGGATTCAGGAGTTGCCTGTAATAGAAATTTGTATTATCTAATTAATACAGCAACAAGCAAGTTAATAACACCTAGAAAATATTAAAAATGTCTTACCAATTGAAGGAAGAACTAATGCAAGAAATGCATATTCTTATCCTCATAAAAATCAAGCACTTCCGACCAGCTTCATTTGTACCAAGTGACATTTACATTGACATCCTGAGTGAAAAGGACAAGAACATGAACATAAGGGAATTGGGTAGCATTATCTTTTGACTGCATTTAAAAGACAAGAAAATGAACACAAGGGAATTGGGTAGCATTTATCTTTTGATTGCATTTAAAAGACGCCAAAATAACTGGTGGAAAATGAAAGTGTAGTTATTCTCAGTGTTATCAGATAAATAAGTCAAACTCATTTTCTCAATAAGGTTTTTTTCCAGTGGCTACAAAGTCACTAGTCAGTTTCATTCATGTAATTGAACACAACACAGATTGCACCAACTGCATTATCTCTGAAATAGCATTGATAAGGGGCAGGCAAAGCTTCCAGAGAGAGCAAATGTGCACGATGAAAGAGCCCTTTGCAGTGGCTGCCAGCATGTGGCGGGAAGCCCTGCCTTTAGGATTTACTTTTTGGCGGTGAACAATGGTAAGAAGAGTGCATTTGGTTAGGTGGAACTGATATATGTTTAGAGTTAAATTCCTTAAAGAAAGGGTCTTTGCTTATTCCTCCCCCCCCCCCCATGGTTGTTAGTATGACACTTTGTATTCCACACTGGTACAGTTTTAGATTTAATCCTACTTAAACTGTTAGTTTTAGGATTAGTCCCTATCAATTACTAGCTGTGTGACCTTGAGCGAGTTAATTTCTCTGAGCTTTAACATCTCACCTCCAAAATAGAGATAGTAATAGTAACTACTTCATAGATTATTGTAAGAATTGAAAAAGATACTATCTATGAAGGTCTTAGAAGACTATTTGACAGATAATATATCGTATATGTTAACTACTCTAATAATTACTATTCCAATAATTAATTTTCAATTTTCAGTATTTTGTGGCTTATATTTCTGTGCAAATGCAATGGCATTTTCATATCAATTTAATGATTACTTCAGAGATGTTTCATCTGAATAATTGTCAATATCTGTATGATCTCAGCTATTGACTCCCCCTTAGCCTCTTCATGGGTTAATGCTCTATTAAAAATTCAAACTTTGTTTACAATGAGCTGGAAATGCCGACATCAAGGTTAAACAATGATGTTTACTAAAACCAATAATTATTTTATATTATAAAAAAGTAATTTTGAGTGGTTTGTTTGGTAATTTTTCTTTTAAAATATTGCCTTTCTAAAACTTTTCTCTTTTCAGTGCTCACAAGTGAAAAGTGAGTAAGAGACAGATTTCCTGTCAGCAGAGACAGGAGCTTCTGCAAGGACTACTGGAAAGAAGGAGAGCAGGGCGCTAATGAGTGTAAACCAGGGCAGGAAGGCAACGGAAGGATATTTGTGCATTTGCTAAAAGCAGGCGTCAAAAATTTCCCTGAAAATGTTTTTGTACTTATTAAATCTTATCCAATATTCAAAGTAGTGCCAGTGACCTTTCTTGTTTGCTT